CTCACCCCGGAGGAGGCGGGCAGCAGGACCAGGCCTCCCGCCGCTCCAATCCTCCGGGGCGAGAAAATCCCCGTTCGTAACTGTGGATCCGACATAAGTCGGATCCGCGTAACTCGGGGACTACCTGTAATGGAATTTTCTCACAGAACCCTTATTTTAATTTCATGGAACCACAGGGTTCTGCAGAACACCATTTCGGAAACACTGGCATAGTGGAAGGGGTGGGGTCTACTTTGGTGGTGGAGGCAGCAAATGCAACTAAGGTATCCACAACCATTGCCTACCACAGAGTGGGGCTTAATTTGTAATGAAAGAGGTGCTGTGAGTCAAGCATAATGAATGATTCAGAATGATGCAGAACGTCCAGAGGAGCTGGCACAACTAAGCACTGGCTCTGGCCCTCGCATAGTGATGATGATGATGGCTGGGGAGGAAAAGGAAAGCAAAGGCTTTGTGTTCTTCACATCTGCTCCCTGAACAGAAGTTACTGGAAAAAAACCAATGTAGAGGGAAGAGATGGAAGAAATATAGGCTGCTTAGAGAGTTACAGAAGTAGGGAGTCCACAATTAACAAGAGGAGGAATGGGTCCATGAGAGCTCTGCTCCTCTAAGCTGGAGAAAAGGCAAACTGGAGCTGGGTGAAAACCTGTGGGGACAAAATAACAAGAGAATTGAGTTTCCCGGACTGTGTTTCGTTGGAGAGACAAAGTGCTAGAAGCCATAGTTTTGACTGGCCCAATTTGGGGGTAGAGACAAGCTGTGCAACTCAATCTGCACAGGCTCCAAAGCTTGGCTCTTTCTCTCAGGGTATGTCTACACTACCTTCCTAGTTCGAACTAGGGGGGTAATGTAGGCATACCGCACTTGCAAATGAAGCCCGGGATTTGAATTTCCCGGGCTTCATTTGCATAAGCGGGGCGCCGCCATTTTTAAAACCCCGCTGGTTCGAACCCCGTGCAGCGCGGCTACACGGGGCACGAACTAGGTAGTTTGAACTAGGCTTCCTAGTTCGAACTACCGTTACTCCTCATTCCACGAGGCAGGGTAATGTAGGCATACCGCACTTGCAAATGAAGCCCGGGATTTGAATTTCCCGGGCTTCATTTGCATAAGCGGGGCGCCGCCATTTTTAAAACCCCGCTGGTTCGAACCCCGTGCAGCGCGGCTACACGGGGCACGAACTAGGTAGTTTGAACTAGGCTTCCTAGTTCGAACTACCGTTACTCCTCATTCCACGAGGCAACTTGCAAATGAAGCCCGGGATTTGAATTTCCACGAGGAGTAACGGTAGTTCGAACTAGGAAGCCTAGTTCAAACTACCTAGTTCGTGCCCCGTGTAGCCGCGCTGCACGGGGTTCGAACCAGCGGGGTTTTAAAAATGGCGGCGCCCCGCTTATGCAAATGAAGCCCGAGAAATTCAAATCCCGGGCTTCATTTGCAAGTGCGGTATGCCTACATTACCCCCCTAGTTCGAACTAGGAAGGTAGTGTAGACATACCCTCACAGAAGTTGGTCCATTTCCAAAGCTATGTCCAGCCCTCCCCCACCTGGCTCTTTTTTGATCCTGAGACCAGCAGACCTGACAGATTTGCCAAGCCCCCAGCAAGATGGGGAAGGGAGGAGCTGCTCCACATCCTGGGAAGGGGCAGGGTCTCCGGCAGGTGTGGGGCTGGGGCCAGGCAGCTCACAGTGCCACCCAGAGAGCATCACACTTCCCCTCGGCAGCCCTCAACGCTGCTCAGAGCGCACCATGCAGCAGTGATTTAAAGAGCCTGGGGTTCTGGCCACTTCCACAGCAACCAGGAGCTCTGGCCCCTTTTGTATTGCTGGGCCCTGGGGCAGTTGCCCCCTTTGCACCTACCACTTATCGGCAGGCCTGCCTGAGACCCACCGCCAGGCTACAACAACACTGCCAACAATCCTGAGGTTCTTGACAATACAATTAATTGTTTTTCAAGCAGCTCAAAGACCAACTGGGTAGGGGAGAAAGGTGACGAGAGGTGCAACATGCCAAAGGCATGGAGAGTGATATGAGCCTAGCTGGGGGCCCAACTCCACCAAAATTTGGGGCCAGGTCTCTCCACCAGCCACACCTGCCAGCCAACATGCTCCCCCCACACATCTCTCAGACCCTTCTGCTGCCCCCAGAAGACGTAAAACAATCCAGGCCCCTTCCCTCACCAACCACAACTGGCTACACAGCTGGGCAGTTCCATGCCACTACCAGCACGTTCCCGCAGCCCCGTGTGTGTGTATCTCTGTGCACTGTCTCCACCTCAAGTGCCCCTGTGACTAATGGAAGGCTGCGGGGTTAGTGCCTCAGGGCAGCAGTGTGCAGAAATCCTTGCTTCTCCCATCTGGGTATCCCAGGTAAGCAGAGCTCCCACCACTCTCCTCCGCATCCCAGAGCCAGCGTCCCTTGCACACAAACTCCTCCTGCAGCCCTCAAGCTCCTTATCAGAGTTTGCACCCTCACCCCCCCCGCCCCAGCCCAGAGTCTGCACCCAGCACCCAGACTCCCTCCCACACCCACATTCCCATGCACCTCACACCTTCTGCCACCCAACTCCTTTCCTGAACCCCTCAACCGGGCCTCAGCGCTCAGCCGGCACCCAGCTCCCAAACTGCCCCCTCCCCCGCCCCAAGGTTTAGGCAGGTGTGAGTGGGTTGGGGGGAGTGCGGGCTCTGGGCATTACCAATATTCTGGACCCTGCCGTGGGAGAATCTAGGGGAAAGGCTGGCGGGGAAGGGGGCGCCTCGAGGGAGAGAGAGTGGAAAGCGCCGCGGGGGGCCCGAAGGGCGGGGAT